AAAATTTTTAATAATCTATAATATATCCTAGACAGATAAATCGTCTCCACTCAGAATCATTTTTCGTATACAATGATATAATATCATTGCAGGATTCAAATTTAAATTCATCCATTACAGTAACCCACTTGTAACCTACTGTAGAGCAGAGCGACATCCACGACTTACCCGGTTTTTTTTGTTGTTATTTGAATTAAGGGTTTAGTATGTCTCTACACCATTTTCTCTTAAAGCGACGAGGAGGGTTACCAGGAATGGTTAATGCAGCTAGATTTTTTATAAGTTCGTTTGGAAGAGAGTTAAGGCGTAGGTGGAATCGTTTATAATAATTTTTTGCCTCTTTCTGAATTGTTTTCATGTGTAAGTCTTTATGCAGTGTGTGATTTGATACGTATGGCGGAGAATTTGTAATTTCTCTTAGTGTTTTATTTTGGAACCGTTGAATTTTATTTAAATTAGAAACTTTTACATTGCCCCATAGCTGTTGGTCGTATGTTCAAATTGATTTTAAGTGTGATTTGTAGAGGCTTAATTTAATGTTTAGTTTTGAGTATTTGTTGTTGACGATTGGGGTTTTGGGCATTTCTAAGCGAGAGTTTAATTGTGATGTTTTGGCTTTGATGTGGTGAACCCAGGTGAGATGGCGGTTGAGAGTTAGTCCGAGATATTTAACACTTAGGGATGTTGGGATCTGATTACCAAAAAAGCGTTACTTCTGGGCATGGTGCTGATTTAAGTTTAAATGTAGTATGTTTATTTATATATTTTATTTATATGTAGTATATAGTATGTTTATTTTAAAACCCTACCTTTTATATCAGTCTTCCATTAATGAAAGATGGTTTTGGAGGTTTTTGGAGGCTATAATAGGATCTGGGCTGGATAATATTATAACTTTGTTGTCCACATAGTCTACTACTTATGTGTTGGGCGTAGTCGTGATAAATATTTAATACAAAAATAGTGTATGAGATTAACTTTCTATTTTAAATACTTAAAAACAAATATTTGGTTTTAATTGTTATAAGTGTTTACCTCACATTCTGTAAAGGCAATTTAAAACGACATTGATTAAAATTAATACACCACAATTTTCAACAATTTTTTATATTTTAAATAAAATACTATTAAACTCTTTCCAGCATATGATAGTGGCAAATGAAAATTGCACTTTAGGTAATGGACATAACTATAGGATTGAAAAGTTAACATGGGCTAGAGTCCTCGAAAACATAGAGCTAAAAAACTACTAGGAGGACACAGCCCCTCACAACCCCCCGTCGTCATCGGAGTTCAGAAGTCATGCGAGAAGTTCTCAAAAATCTAAATTAATAGTAAACCATAGAATCAAAGAGTAACTTCGTTATTAAAAAACAAAATGTACATAATTAAAAAGGCACGTTGAATCTGCTTTAAATCATAGTTGGCTTGATGTAAGTTTTAATCCTTCTCATGCATGACAAATTAAAATATTAACAACTTATAATTTAGTTGCGTTCGGGACTCAGATCTGACGCACGACCCATATATATATATATAATTATATAAAACTATGACTTTATATTTTGATAAATAATAATAATAAATTATTTCTTACACTGTACCCAAAATTCCATTATTAGCCTTAAGGAAATCAATACTTAATAATTT